GGCAGCATAGCATTTAAAACCTAATTTGTTGTATAATTTAATTTGAATTGAATCTCCCATAAACACATGACTCACTAAGCTAGCTGTACATTTCACTTGCCATCTTTCTGCATAGGTGCTGTAGGAGCTGAACCAACCACTTGCTCTGTGCTATCACCGCAGTGCAGTAATTCCTTGGTGTGATAGTAGGGGATCTCTCTGCAGGAACATTTGGAAAATGTGTTTTCTCAAAGCCACAATACAAAGAAACAAGTTTCTCCCTCTACTAATGCTATTGTTTACAAAAAGATTTGGGTATAGTGCTTGCAGCTGTATCCCCTCAGGTAGTTAACATGTACCGCATATGCTGGCATTTTCTTCTGTTACTCCAAGATAACAAGTGTTAAAGGCATCAGCCCACAGTAAGGACTAAGTCCAGAGAAAGCCTAAAGTTTATAAACAAATTCTGTCTGAGTGATGCAAGCTGACTTTCATGACTCAAGGCTCAGAAATACTAAGGCTACATGGTAAATGTGTGTCAATAAAGACATTGTACTCTAAATGCTGATTATGGTCTTGGTCCTGAAAACCCTTATTTATGCACCTGAATAACTTTGCCCATGTGTGTAGTCCCTCTGAAATTCTCTTTCATCCTTATAGCCAGTGGGAGGGGGAAGGTGCCAGTGAGAATTTTGCATGTGTGTGGTGTATTAGGGCTCAATCCTTCAATGCTTTGTGCCAGGAGTGATGCTGCTGTGGGTACTATTTATTTTTTTATAGAGAGAGGGCCCCCCCCCCCCCGGCCCCCCCCCCCCCCCAAAAAGGAACCCCCCCCCCCCCCCCCAAAACCCCCCAGCCCCCCTCCAACCACCCAACCTCTTAAAACCCGGAGCAAGGGGGCCCCGGGGGGGGGGGGGTTTCCAAAAAGTGAGTCCTGTACAACGACTTCAGAAGAGCCCAGTATGTGCCTGACCAGGAACACAGTCTGGTTTGTAAATCTGGGGCCCAGTCCTGCAATGTTTATTCACCTGAGGATCCCTGTTGAAATCAAAGTATGACTCTTGTGGGTACAGCTATCTAGCTGTCTTAGCGTCGCCAACTTTCATGAGTCTCACAATAATTGCTTTAAAGCCAAATTATGGAAGTCAAACATCCTTGGAATCTACATACATATTTAATTTTATATAACAAACTTCGGATGTTCTATTTATATAAAATTCGCCCGGGGGAAATATGAATTACATTTGCAAAAAATTATGAAGTTCAAACATTTATCTACATACATACTTACATATTTATTTACGTAAAATTAACAAGTTTATTCTACTCTGGCTGCACTCAATTCTTTAAACAGATACTTCTGAGTCAGAGGTAGCATGAGGGATGCTACGCTGTCCTTCTCTTAGGCCTCCTTCCTCCTAGGTAGTGGAGTGCTCATCTGTATGGGGATGAACACTGCGACATTCCCCATCCTGCTCACCTCTTTCAGGCTTGTGCTTCTACCCTCAGCTCTCTGGATGGCACAGTACAAAGCTGAGCCCTACAGGGGTTTCCCCTAAGCTGTGGCTTCTACACCATCTCACTCTGACTGCAGTCTGGGAGGCAGCCAACTAAAAAAAAAAAAAAAAATCCACAAAAAACAAAATTTTTTTTAAAAAATTTTTTAACCAACACCTCCAAAAAATGAAGTTTAACTCACAAAAACTTATCTCAAATAAATTTTTTTATTTTTAAGGTGCCAGCTAGCTTCCTTTTCTTTGGGATCAGACAAACACGGCTGCTACCCTGAAACCAGCTATTATTATGTAAAAAAAAACCACTCCACTCGGGTGTAAAATCCACTGCAGTAGAGGAAGTAGTAGTGGGAAAATTACATTGGGTGGCATTGTAGTTTAGGCTGTCTTGCTCTGAAAAGTGCCTCCCAGTGTTGCACTGGCTGAGGACAATGAATTACTGTTTTCAAATTGAAAACAAGTATTACTTGGGGGATAATACCCAGTTTGTGTAGTTAATCTCTAGTGATTCACCACATCAGGCCATTCTGTCACCAAGCTCTTCCACAATTAGAATCATAGAATTGGAAGGGACCTTGAGAGGTCATCTAATCTGGTCCCCTGTACTCATGGCAGGACTAAGTATTATCTGTTCTGGAATGTGTGATCAGTAGCTCTGACATGAGATTTTTTTTTAAGCATGAGTTCTGTACGCACCAGCCCCCCAGGGTGTGCATTTGTTTGTTTTAAGCTTTCTGTAAGAAATAGGTAACTGCTAGAAGTGACAGATCTTATCTGGTTGCCTAGTCATAATATTTAGCACTTCTGTATGAGGTTGACTCTTCAAAATTGCTATACAAACATTGAACAAACTTAATTTAAAGCCTTTCAGCTTTTGAATGACCAGGAGCTAACAAAACAGATCTATTCCCTGTTGTGTTCTGTGCCCCACACACACACAAAGGCTTCATTGAACATCAGCATCTTTAAAAGAATCATTAAGGATCTTTCAAAAGAACAGTCCAACCAAAGCTGCTATAGTGACACCCTTGTTATGTCTGTTGTTTAAGGCTGGGGTAGAATGAAGGGAGAGCTTCCTGTTTTGTTTGCATGTGTAAATCAAGCAGACCTTTATTTGTTTTCCTTAAAGTGCTCAGAGTTTAGGGGCAGAAAGTGAATAAGATTCTGCTTATACCAAGTGTGAAAAAGCAGAAGGAACCAAAATCTATTCTTGTGCAAAAATGTTCTCCCTGAAGCCTATAAGGCTACACAGGTGTAACTCTCAGCAGGAATTGGCCTGTGTTCTCATTCCCTTCTTAAATCACTCACATTACACACTTACCCAACATTTTCCACTTGGGAAAGAAGTTAGTGTGAGTTGGGGCAGAAAAATGAGGACTAACTTCAGGTTTATTTAGCTTTAAGTTTCTGGAATGAAACCAGATGCAAGGTACTTTTATGATGGATTGAACTGCTAGAGAATCAGCAAATGGATAGAACCTGCCTTTAGCCTATTCAGCCAGTCTTTCTATCACAGCCTGCTAAGAAGTGAATTTAAAATCCTTGAGGGAGAGGGTGTGATGGGACATAAGGAAAGAACTTGGTTGCCCGTCCCCCCCAGTAAAAAAAAATTCACCAACAAACATTGGATTTCTTTGATTTTTAGAACAGTTCAATATAGTGCATCATAAATCTGAAGCCCCTCAGTGGCAGGTACTGTAAAAGATGAAATACTGGTATCCAGAATGGGATGTTTTGTTTTCCCTACAAATGTGTGAGAATTCATTCCTTATACATGGGAGGGGCAATACTTCTGGCTGGAGCTGGATAGTGTGGGTGCAGGTTCAGTGTAAGTTTCCCACCCTGCCACTCTGGTACTGCCTCTTTCCCCCATCGGCACTCACCAGTTGTCCAGAAACAGGACTCAGCACACATAGACAACTGGGATGGGCACTAGGACCCAGGAGACAGCATCCTGGAGCTGCCTGCCAGCCTCAGCCCAGGAGAGGGATAGAGGGAGCTTCTTCCCTAACAGCTAAGCAGAGCTCCAGAGAAATCAGGGCTCTGGAGGGGGGGGGGGACACAACCCCCCCAACCACGCCACGCGGCGGTTCCCATGGTAAACAGGTGTCCAGTCACCAGTGTTAACCGGAACCTGGCGTGGTTCCCAGGTAATGCCTGCTCACACCATGCCTGCAGCTGGCACAGGTTCCTGTGATAACTAGATTTTTAGCTGCTCCCCCAGTAACCACAAGGTTTCCGGGGTCCTCTATAGCAGCCCCCCCGGGGGGTTGCCCCCCCGGGCCCCCCCCCCCCCCCCTTGGGGGAAGTGTTGAAATTTTTTTTTTTTTCCAAAAATTAAAAGAAACCAAACTTCAAAATATCAAAATCCTCCCTGAAATACAACTACCCAGCTCTAGTAGTACATGATATACTCAACTTTCTTTTCTTTTTTAAAAAGCAAGTTCCCACTCTCATTAGGGTTGCCAGTTTTGGTTGGATGTATTCTGAAGGTTTCATCACATAACATAATCTTTAATTAAAGATTAATCTTTAATTTCTGGAGACTGCAGGACAATCCTGGAGGGTTGGAAATCCTCTCCCTCCCCCTCTCTCTTATGTTTGCAGGTAAAACCGTGAAAAGATGACCCAAATGCACCCTAAAGGCTCATACCAAAAGGCACACAAAGAACCCCAAATGTATTATTATATTTAAAAAATATTTTAAAGCCGGGGGGAATTTGGGTTACTTCCAGCCCTCCAGAATTTTCCTTAAGTCTCCAGGAATTAAAGATCAATCTTTAATTATAGATTATGTCATGTGGTGAAACCTCCAGGAATACGTCCAACCAAAATTGGCAACTGTAGCAGGGAGGAAGGAGAAATACATGCTTTTCTAATATTTGGAGCTTTCTAAGTCCCACCCCATGCTTGTATTTAAGAGTCTCTAATTAAGTGTCTCTCAAGTATTTAAAACTGGAAAGACTGGGCCTGAAATCAATATTTAGTTTTTCCCTTTCAGTGCGGAATTATATCTGGAGCAATTCACTGGGAAGACCATGGTACTGGTTCATTCTGTGTCAGCTAAACTCTGTTGATTTTGCTATAGTCAAATTAACTGTAGCTTAATTACTCGATATTTAACAGAAATGAAGGTATCACAGATAACAGAGGTCAATGTCTGTTGTTATAAACATTATTACTCTTTGAGGGTAATTGTTATAGGACATTCATTTTGCCCATGACAAAGATGGCCGCCAGCGGGCTCTGTGATGAATATATTATCACAAAAGGGAACAGTGCCCACATCCAAAATGCCCGACGCACCCTCGCCACTGGTGCCCACCTCCAAGATGGCCGCCGCTGTCCTTCCTCCGCCTCAATAGTCGGTTGGCTTCCCCAATCCAAGATGGCTGCCTAGCACAGAGGAAAGAGGCGCTCTAGCGTGGCCAGGTCTGTGATGGGACCGGAAGCCTTTTCTATCCGTGCCTCCCCGCCCTCTGGGTTCTCTATGGTGACCCTGCTCTGGTCTCCAATAGGAGGCGTGGGGGAGCTCGGGGCCCCGCCCAGAGTCTGATCAGCTGATGGCTGGCAATGTCTGTTGACAGCAGCAGCCTCCGCGGCAGGACTGGGTGTAAGAGGCTGGCGGTGGGGGAGGGGATCGCTGCGAACCCCCTCAAGTCCCCTGGGGCTGGGGGCAGGGCGGTGAGCGGGAGGGACGTTGCGGGAGGGAGGACGGGGCCCTGCCAGCGGCCCCAGCCCGGCTCCTGTGTGTCTCACCCTCAGGGCTGTGAGAGGCCTTGGAGGGCCAGGCTCCGAGGGGGGCCCCGCTTGCCCTAGAGAGGAAAGGAGCGGGGAGTAGAGTGGAGGGACTTCAGCCCACACACCGGAGCAATGCAGGAGAGCTGGGGCTGGTGTGTGGGCAGGTGTCTGAGGGGCTGCTGCTGCGGGGGAGCGGGGTCTGGAAATAAAGAGATGAGAGGGGAAGTGATGGCTTGGGACAGAACAGACAAGAAGGGGAAGAAGGATAGGCGGGGAGAGAAGGCTGGGGAAAGAGAGAGAGAATCATAGCTGTGAAAGCTGCGAGAGGAAGAACAGATGGGAGGGGAAGTAGGAGGGGTATGTTTGTGAGAACTGGGGAGGGAAACCCTACTGTTTCCAAATGAAACTTTTCCCCTGTGTGTCTTGCGATTTATTTATTTATTTGATCAGATGTGAATCCAAATGGAGCACTCTGAAGGAGGAGACCAAAACCAGCAGCAGCAGCCTTGGGGGAAGCTGATCCGGTTAGGTGCTGATGAAGCAGAGCCCCATGTCTTACTGCTGAAAAGAGAATGGACAATTGGGCGGAAGAAAGGTAAGATGGCGTGTGATTTGCTAGAGGTCGGACTAGGTGATCATAGTGGTCCCTGCTGGCCTTAAAAATATATGAAGATGGACTCTGAGACATGACAGGTATGTTGGTATCTGGTGTGAGGATAAGGTGGAGATAGGTTAGAAGAGGCTCACCTCAATGCTTGCCACAAAATCCCTTGTTCCCTACTCTGTCATTTCTATGAGAGAAAAGTTGTGCTCTCTCCCTGTCTTTGGCTTTCTTTTTTAATGGTGTTCTTGGTGATATCACAAACACCCAATCCCGTGAATTTGTCTTGTTGATTTCCCTGATTGTTTCTGTGCAAATAAAAAAGCACTACATTTCAAACCAAGTTTTGTCATGTCATACCCATTTTGTCACTACTCTCTCCTTTAGCTCTTGTGATTTAAAAAAAAAAAAAAGTGGGGTGGGGCGTGGAGGGTCTGTACTGCTACATTTTCACACTTCAACACACACCTACAATCCAAAAAGCCTTAATTCTTCTGGCTGCATGATGGTTGCTAACATTAAAATAATTTCTGTGAGAGTTGATTTGAAATGCAAGTGTTTCTGGGTTTAAAAGTGTTGACTATTTGACTTAATTTTAAGGCAATTCCATGTTTAAGGCAAATTATCCACTTAAGCTTGCACTGTGCCAACTGGCACTAACTTTAGTTGCCTGTCCATCAACTCAGTGCATATCATGTTGTAGCACCCAGCATCAATGAAAGTATATTATAGTTTATAGACTCTATATAGTCAGTCAAAATGGAATTCATGGAACATATTATAGGGAAAATATGGCTGGGAAGGAGGGATTAAGGTAGTGTCAAAATGGTGAAGGTTCCCATCACCCCTCAAATCATTACTAACCTTCCCCTTAATACTCCTGGCTAATGGCAGTGAACTGCGCTGGATTTTAAATTTTCTTTGTCTTTAATAATCTAAAGATGGTGATAACACATATAAGAAAATCTTATTTTTAAAAGAAGAGTTTTAAGTGGACTGATCAGTCTCTGTGATGGGATCTGCCTATGTAGATACTCATGGGATATTTATAAACATATTGATCATAAACATTTTCTTCTTAAGGTTGTGACTTGTCCTTTCCTGGCAACAAACTGGTGTCTGGAGATCACTGTAAGATTACAGTAGATGAAGAATCTGGACAAGTATCATTGGAGGATACCAGGTTAGCCCTGCTTTAAACTTTTATTACTGCTTGCTAGAGTAAAATTCTGTTTAGTGCTCATGAAAGGAGCTAGGTGTACATATCAGAGAGTAGTTGGTAAGTCTCTTATTTTTTAGGTGTTAGTTTTTTCCAAAAATCCCTAAAACTCATCCCCTCCCCCCCATGGAATGCCTAGCTTACTGGATGAAAAACAAACTGATGGTGGGGAGGGCCTGGTAGTTTTGTATACTGTGTGTCTTATTATGTGATTGCAATTATAGCATTGTGAAAAAAATTATCAGTGACTTTAGGAGTTTTTAAAAACTGTTCATGGTGAATTAGTATATGGCATACTCATTCCTTATATTATCTCTCTTCCCTACCTCCATCCCCAGCTTCGGGGGCGGGGGGGGGGGGGATGCATTCGTACTGACAACCTCAAAAATGTGCAATGGATATGAATAGAGATTCGTATTTGTTATTCCTTTTGGTGTTTAAAATATCTCTGAAGGTAGCTAGTATTTCATAGGAACTTTGGGGCTTGAAGGGTTGTCTGGATTTTGGCTTTATTTATAGTTTGAGCTCCCTTTTGGATCTATGGTAACGAGCACCGTATAAATACTTATGCCTATTGTATTATATTTTGAAATTATTTTGTCACCTCAAGCACTTCAGGTGGAGAGGAGAGAGAGAGGGGCCTAATAGGTAACATTATAAATCATTAAACTTAATTAAATAATTGAAATTGCTCAATACAACATTGTAGCTGTTGATGTTGCCATTAGTCATTTGTTATCAGAAGTTTTTTTTTTTTTTTCGTTCTTTCCTCTAATCAGTATTTCAGGGAGTTATTATGTAGTGATATAATGCTTACATGAATCTTTCCACAATTAGGGCCTTTATGTGCTTAATTTAGGGCTTGTCTACACTTACATTTTATATAGGTCTAACTTGCTGGCTCTGGGGTGTGAAAAATCATCCCTCTGAGCGCTTTAAAGCACTAGAGTAGGCTGGCTCCGAGCGCTGGGAGCCGCTCGTCCCCTCGTGGAGGTGGATTACCAGGAGCTTCCCAGCGCTTGCGTGTGACCACACTTGCACTTCAAAGTGCTGACGCGGGAGTGTTCCCGCGACAGTGCTTTGAAGTTTCTAGTGTAGCCATGCCCTTAGCTCACCATGAGTAGTCAATAGAACTACACCATAGTGCATAAAGTTCAGCATATAAGTTTTTGCGGGATCAGGTCCAACAAACTTGCTCTTCTGGGAGAGATTATTTCCTGCTGGGTTATAAGAATGCTGGTGAATGCAGTGTTGTTCTACCCATGTCAGTCCCAGGATATTAGAGACACAGAATGGATGGGACAATATCTTTAATTGGACCAACTTCTGTTGGTGAGAAAGACAAGTTTTGAGATACACAGAGCTCTTCAGGTTTGGGAAAGGTATTCTCAGCATCACAGTTAAATGCAAGGTGGAACAGATTGTTTAGCATAAATAATTAGCACATACTGTAAGGGACTGTTCAAGGTAGAATGGCCCATTGACACCTCTATAGTCATAGAACAAAAAGAGGGGGTTAGTGCTTTACAGCTTGTTGTAATGAGCCATAAATCCAGTCTCTCTGTTCAGTCCATGATTTTTAGTGTCTAGCGGAGTAATACATTTAAGCTCCCAGGCTTGTCTTTTGAAAGTGTTGTTGTGCAGGTTTCCTTTGAGGAAGAGGACTGATAGGTCAGATATAGAGTGATTGCTTTGTGAAAAGTGTTCACCCACAGGTGATAGGATGTTTTTGACTTGTTTCATTTTCTAATCACTACTGTAGAATGAAGTGATTTACTGGTTTCACCCACATAGTTATTGGGACATTGTTTAAGTTAGCTGGGATGTATAATCTTTCTTGCCTGTTGCAGGATGTATGGGGTCTAGTCAACAGTTTCCTTTGGCAAAATTTAACTAAGGCCTTGTCTGCACTGCCACTTTACAGCGCTGAAACTTTCTCTCTCAGGGGTGTGCCCCTGAGCGCTGCAAGTTTCAGCACTGTGAAGTGGCAGTGTAGACAGTGCACCAGCACTGGGAGCCACATTCCCACCTCTGGTAGCTACTCCCCTCGTGGGGGTGTGGTTTTTTTTTGTTTTTTTTTACAGCTACTACACAGCCATGTTAAAGCGCTGCCATGCTAGTGAAGACATGCCCTTACTTATCCACTCCCTCCTCATTCTCTTGATCAGAGTTGGTAGATATGATGTTGCAAGTGGGATTCTTTCCGGGGCCAGAAACTTACTTCTGACACTGATTTAGGCCACGTATTTTTTCTTTTTATAAGGTAGGAAATACTTTTTATCTTTGTGTGTAGGGAAAAGTCTTGAACAAGCAGAAGCTGCAGAGTAGAAAGCACGAAGTATCATGAGCAACTGTAATCTGTCTGCCTAATAAAGGGCTTAGGGACTTCATCTAGCAGTTCAGCTGTCCCACAATTGACAAGGTTGAAAACGCAAAAAATAGACCCTGACAGTTCCAAGGGAGTTCCATTCAGAGGAGTGCTGCCTGCTGTGCTGGCAGAATTAACCTAGATCAGTGCAAAGTGCGGAGTGGAATGATCAAACCCTGAATGAACAGACCTGACCGTGTGGGAGCTACAGTCAAATTTAACAACGTGTGAATGGAATTCTCAAGCAGGAATTTGAAGTGGGTCACCGCATCCTAACCACAACATTTATCTTTGCCTTCTAAGGCTATGTCTACACTATGGACCTTATAGCTGCACCACTGGAAGGTCTCCTGTGTAGCTGCTCTATGCGGACAGGCAAGAGCTCTCCCACCGGCATAATTAAGTCACCCCCAAGAAGTGGTGGTAGCTATGTCAGCAGGGGAGTGTCTCCCACTGACATAGCGCTGCCCACAGAGGTGCTTTGTAGGTGAAACTTATGATGTTCAAGGGGTCGTTTTTTTCACACCCCTGACTGACAAAAGTTTTGCTGACAAAAGTGCTAGTGTAGACAAAGCCTAAGTCTTTTCTTTCTACCCTTCTTCTGCCATAATATATATTCCCTCTGACCCTCAACTCACGTGTCAGATCCCACACACACACAGCTTGCTCTCCAGACACTGTAGGAGAGCTCAGGTGGCTAGCTAACAAAAAGGGGCAGCCAGTAGAAGAGAGTAGCTAACTACTGAGCTAACTAAGACTTTGCTGTCAACGTTGCAAGAGTGTAGTTTGTGGAAGGGTGGAGCTAGATGCACTGTTAGCCCCACTGAAAGGCTGCAACCCGAAGTAATGCCTCTCTTCCACAACTGAGAACATGGCATGTTATATTTTCACATACCTGACAAAAAGGAAGAGGGCCTTTTATATATTCTGTCTGTGCATGGGTGAGAGTTGACTTAAAGCACTGTAACCACACATGGAATAGGAAGACAGTCCTGACTGCCTTACTACTTGCAGAAGATTAAGCTTCTCCTCTCTCAGAATTTGTCTGAGACCTCTGATATTCAAGGCCTGCTGTCAATATCAGCTGAGCTATACAGAGTCAAACTGGCCATAAGAAGTTGTATATCTAAGCTTTTTCCACCCAGAAAGTGCCTTGGCTAGACTACACTGGCAATACTAAAGTGCTGCCACGGCAGTGCTTCAACATGGCTTGTGTGGTCATGGCACAGCGCTGGAAGAGAGCTCTCTCAGCGCTCTAAAAAACCCACCTCCACAAAGGGCGCGTCTCCCAGCGCTGGTGCACTGTCTACACTAGGGCTTTACAGCACTGAAACTTGCAACGTTCGGCGGGACGGAAGGGTTCACACCCCTGAGTGAGAAAGTTGCAGCACTGTAAATTGCTGGTGTAGACAAGCCCTTAGCATTTACTAGAAGAAACAATACTGTATTAGATTACTTAATCAGTTTCATTCACGGAACAGTTGGCTTGTCCCAGGGAAAAGCAATTAATTCTTTCTTAAAAACAAAAATTCAAATGCAACTCGTGAGATTGAGGTAGACTTTTGAAGGGCCTTTCCCTGTCCTCCATTGGGCAGTTTTTGTGTGTGTGCCTGCATTAAATAAGCAAACTACACTCTTAACTTTTGGATTGGCCCTTCCAGAGCCAAGAGGCACATTGATGGAATTGTATGGGATAACTTGCACCGCTATACCCTACCCAAATGGGAATTGGGTCAGGATACAGAGATTTATATTTCTAGTCTTAAGAAAAGTGTTATGGGATCTTTTATGACCTGGATTTACGTTTCATCTGATAGCTGAGTTTCCTTCTCCTCTCACTCCAAAACAATACAGCTGGTTGGCATTGGTTTAGTACTGAATCACAAGGAATGTCTGGACTTGGGACATATTAGACTTTCTTCTTCACTTGCAGTACAATGATTTGTAGTGCCTGATAAATACATAAATTTAGCCATTTTTGATGTTTGTATGTAAAAAATCCATTTTGTGATATCCAGATACTCCACAAAGTGTTAGACTTCTCTGGTTAGAGCCCTAAAACTGGATATGACACACAAAATAATGTGACAATTTCCTGTATTATTGGCTAAGATCTAATTTTAAACACATTCAGTTTTCTTTAGTGTTTAGCAAAAACTTGGGTGCTTTTCTTTGAGTGATGTGATTTCGCCCCCCACCCCCCTTTCTATTAAACAAGTGAATCTCTGGGCAGCTGGAGGGGGAGAAACTTTGACCAAAGATTGCTCATCTGCTGCCCTACTGATTTCCTCATTTGGCTTTGTTAAGGATGATGATTTGGGCCCTGGTTCTCCAAATGACTAGTGTAGTCAGAGCTTTGTTCAAGTCAATGGGAGTCTGCAGGAGCACAGAGATTCACCTGCATGGAAATGTGTGTGGGATTCAAGCTTTAGTGTTGATTTGGCAGCAGTTTTGGCATGTTTTTTCCTCCAAGTAGCAAACTTCACTGTTTGATATCCAAGAGTGCACATCTTTCTAATAAGCATTTAGCTAAAACACCTTAAAGTCCCTTATGCCCATTTTGGGGTTTAGCAGAACTGCTTAATAATTATGTTAAAGGTACTTATAAAACCCTTTGTATTGAAATTTTTTAAAGTTCATATATTTGCCCTCGTTATGGCAATAAATCTTGGGGCCAGAAACCTTCTGAAGATCGCTAAGAGATATTCTTTATTTTGTCAGACTGAGCTGTTTTTTTTCCCTCCACCTGATATTTATGTACACTTCAAAACAAGACTTGAGACTTTGTGTCTGTGGGTTTTGCATCATCGCGTACATAGACCACTGCTTAAACACTCAGATATGACTCTTATTTCATTAGAGTAGTGGTTGTGTCCTTCTGTTGAAACCTGTCCAGATGGGTAATGTTGCAAGCAGAGTTGTTCCCTTTGATACTTTGCATGAGTAGCCAGCCTATGATATAACTGTAATCCAAATTAGTGCAATTGTTTCATTGTATAAAATAATCCCTGAAAATTCTTCTGCATTAGTTAAAGGAGACTTGTAACGGTTTCTTTAAAAATTGGGCATTTCCCCCCCTTTTTTGTTGTTGCTGTTTTACTATTATGAAGAAGGCCCAAATGGTTTGGGTTTTTTTGTATTTGTTTGTTCTGGAGTTTTGCTGGCAGATCTCCAGCAGGTCTCAGTGGTCATTTTGAGCAATAATACTTGATTGAAGGAGATTGAAGAAGTTTTAGTCAGTTTTTTTAATCTTTAACAATGGTTTCCTTGGTTCAAAATATTTCTTTGTCATTTAACATAGGTAAATTAATAACAAATCAAAAATGTTTTTTCACAGTTTGACTAAAATTCTCTTCCCCTCCTAATTGCTCAACTTTCATTCCCTTGACTTTGGTGATGCACTTTGCTGTTTCTCCGGTCATCATAGAGTCTTCCAGCCTCAGCAGGAGCTGTATTTCTAATGTAAAAAGACAAGGAGAAAATATTTATTTAAGTTTTCTACTCTTTTAAAAAAAAATTTTAATAAAGGAGCAAAGAAGGAAACAAGTCCAATGTTTTTCCTCCCCTCTGCAGGGGACCTTCAAAACAGCATTTCTTGCAGTTTGCGCTGTGTTGGTTGACTTATCCATGTACAATATAAAAGTGTGTCTGATGAGGGGGAAGCAATATATTTCTTGACTGAGAAATCACTTAGTGCCACCTCAAAAGTGATTTCTCCTAGCAGTGCTTCTGACTTCCTATCGTCAATCTTTCTGGATATTTAACAATCTCTTTACTTTCTCTTCTTGTGTAAATAGCTGACTGAAGGCCTTTCTTCTGAGCCGTTTTTGTTTAAAAGGATAAATAATGAGAAGAGAAGGATGGGATTTGTTTCTAGATAATTTTCCACCATGAAATAGAAACTAACTATGGTACGTTTGGGAAAATCTGGGCTGTGGTCTGGGTGAGTAACTAAGTTCATCCACAAGATGGCAGTAAAAATTTGTAGTACCGAAGGTTGGCATAGATAACAACAAAAAAGCCCCAATGTTCTGTAGGCATCTTTATACATATAGTATTAGTTGCTGAGGTTCTTGGATGGCAGAAATCTGAACTCCTTTAGTTCTATGAGGCTTTTAAAAAATGCTAATATTGCAACAGAGCTGAAATTACTAATTTCAGTGTAATTTGACTTGATTTTAAAACACTTATAGCAACTATATGAAGTGGTACATCCCAAAAAGAATGAGTGAAGATAGATATAATTAGATATTTAGTCAGTAGCTGGTGGTACTGTGCACTGATGTGTTTCCAAATTTAAGTCTTCAGATAATTTTTTTTGAAGGTTGTTTCCACTTCAAAATGATTCCATCTAGCTTGGCTTTTAACTCCATTTAAGTGCATGTACATGTTCTTTCCTCCTATTAACTTTCTTAGGGTTGCCAGGTGTCCAGTTTCCACCAGAACACCAGGTCAAAAAGGGACCTTCCCCTGCCTGGTGAAAACGAGTGAGTGAGGGTGGGGGAGAGTGAGTGACGGAGGGAGGGGGGATGGAGTGAGCGGAGTAGGGCCTCAGAGAAGGGGCAGGGCAAGGGTGTTTGGTTTTGTGCGACTGGAAAGTTGGCAACCCAAAATAATTGAGGTAAACATCATTGGAAAAATAGATACTTCCTTCTTTTCTTCCTTCTGTCAGTAATCCACAGGTGGTAGCTCAAGAGTGTGATGTTGAAAACTTATAGACCTTAAAAAATAAAATAAAAAAATAATTCCAGCAATTCATTTTCTAACTCAAATAAGAATAAAATAACTGACTAGAGTCACTAATAACCAGAATCATTTCCAATCTTCAACCTTTGGCATTTTAAACTTTCAACATCTGAGAGGAGGAGGAGGAAGGAAAGAAAGGCCAGCATGCGGTCCCTGGTTGTACAGAAAATGGGTTCTTCCACCCCATAAACAGTTTAAAAGAGAGTCCTTCCTATCAGTGTTAATCCCAACACTACAATTTAGCACTTTCAGATAGGTGGCTGAGATGTTCTTCTGCTTCTGTCCCTTTCTGTCTTCCGTTTATCTTAGCTGTAACTCATTCCGTAGGGAGCAATTCTCTAATTATTTTGAGCCATTCTCCAAATGTAAGGGATCGTTGCCTGTCTATCTGTCTATTAGCCACATGTTTCCTTCCCAGGAGCCGCAAACTAGCAATGAAGTCCTCAGCAACTCTGCAGAACAGCCCCACAGGGCAGATTTTTCCCGTTCAGTTATCTGGCTTCTCTTAATCTTGGCTACATTTTTTTTTTTTTTTTTTGAGTACCAGCAATTTTCTCTGCTAATATCTCTCCCCCCACCTTCTTCCTCTCCCAATCAACCCCCACGATAATTATGAAAGCATTTGGGCTAAATAACTGTCTTTCTCTTTGCAGCACTAATGGAACAGTAATTAATAAACTGAAAGTGGTTAAGAAGCAGACATGCCCTTTGCAGACTGGGGATGTGATCTATGTTGTTTACAGGAAGAATGAGCCAGAAAACAGTAAGAGGATATCTTTTTTTTTTTTTTTTTTTTAATGGCATTGGCTAGTCATAAGGGATACAAGGGAATATCAGATGGTGAGAATAGAGCTACTCAGTGAATGATAGAGCAAGTAACTTTTTAATATTAACCACATTTTTTCATGATGTTGGGGGCCTTCTCTAGTTATCAGCATCATCATCTTCTATTATTTGTATTATGGTAGAGCCTATAGCCCGCGTTTGAAATTGGAGCCTCATTTTGCTAGATACTCTATAAACACATAGTAGAAAATAGCCTACAAAACTTAGTCTAATTAGACAAGATAGATGAAGGCTTGGAGGAGAAATTGAGGCATAGAAAGGTGGAGAGACAAGCCAAAGGTCATGCAGTATGTCATTGGCAAAGCCAGAAATAGAATCCGGGTCTCCTGGGTCCAACCCAGTGCCATGAAATTGGTTATAAAGTATTTAGCATTTGTTACTTTAGTAGAAAACATTCAGTTTTTAGAGGTTTCCTTTATAATAGATGAAAGGTATAGGTATTTTAAATACTAAATTCTAGCTACTGTGTCCAAAACAGGAATATAAATCCCTGAAATGAAATTTTATAGTGGGCAGATTGGGAGTGTAACAAGTTATTACACTGTCATATGCTCAGGAATTATTATGAAGTGATAGCTGCTACTGTAACGGGTGTGGTATTAAAACCCCAGATAAAACTTAAGCCCCAGATGAATTTGGTGTCTTAGACTTGTCTAAAGTGTAAGAAAGTATAGATGTCTTAGAATTTATGTTTGCAACTATGCCACGACAGGAAAATTTATAAGCTGTTTGTCCACAGTTTATTTTAGATGCATATAACTGTTGGAAGCTGAATTCCCTTTTGTAACCTCACCATCAGTTTTTAGACTCTGGATTTATCAATTTGTGATGTCGGTTTTACAGGAAAGCAGTGGCACATGTGCACACACTCTAAATCTATATCTCTATATCCACTGTCTCTTTTGTTGATCCTCCTTTGGGAATTTCACTGTAGTAGTCAATACTAGTTGAGGAATTCATTTACCCCGTTGTTCCAAGATAGATTCAAATGTTCTGAGGTATTAATTTTCTTTTAGTTAAAATGTATTTGAACAGGGCTGCTTAGTGCCTAAGTACCTATCATTCAGTCAAAGTTCTGAGTCCTGATTTTTTTCATCCCCTGTGCCTTGAAGGACTGAGAGTGAGCTTAGCTTTGGCATGTATAGTTGTCTTATTTAAGCAATTCTGAAGCAGACTAAAAAGAGTCCTGCATAGTTCCTTTGCTAGTAAGATTGATCACAGTGCAGATTTAGAGGGTGTTGGAAGGACCTAAATGGTTGAGGATAAAAAGCAAGGGGACACAATGGGATCTCTGGGGTTCTGTTAGGAAGCTGGAGGGTTCCCACAGGCTGGAGAAGAAAAGAATTTGCTCTGATTTGCTTTGTAAGTAGATTTTGGGTTAGTCGGTGAATGGCATTTGGGTAGTGGCTTAAAATGTTATATGGAATTTGATTGTTAACTTTAAACTTTTTACAATAAAATCTAAGGAAAATTATATAAAAAATTGAATTTACGAATAGTTAGAGCTCACCTCTCAGCCTTCTGGAGAGAACATCCAGTACAGTTGTATTAATAAGAGTAGTCACAGCTTATCTTGACACACAGCAGAATTTATAGTTAGGAAGTGTTTAAGCCTCAATTTCTATGGTTGGCACAAGCTAAATTTCAGACAAAGCCATTCAGCTTGGTCTGAGAAGAATAGATCTAACTGTTCTGTTCCTAATTACCTCCTAAGTAGCAGCATTAACATTGGCTATAACAGCAATCTCTTGTTGGCCCTCTCCATTTTAGGAAAAGTATGAGAAGCAGCCAACTGTGGGTAGGAGTTGGTGAGAGTAAGAGGGAGAGAAATAAAAACACTTTTAAAATTATAATAAAATTTCTGCCATTTTCTCTCCTTTCAGATGTTGCTTATCTCTATGAATCCTTCAATGCAAAACAAGATGTAACTCAAGAACCAGTAGGTAAGTAAAACTATTAGTTCAAGACTAAAAGGGAGATGAGTGGTTGTGACTAATTGTAGCCGTTTTAAGAGAGCTTGATTCCTTCAAATCTTGTTAATTGACTCTGTTGAAGCCATGACCTTTTGAGGTTGCCTATCAGAGAGATGTTCTTTCCACTCCCTTTTCTGTTACAGAAGCTAATGTAGAAAATACGTGCCATCTGACCAAAGATACCTCACATATAGGAAGAAGTGATGATGGAACCCAAATTACCTCATCACTGCCAGCCACTCAGTCTTGCTATGAGGAACCACAGCCATCTACTTCTACATCTAACCTCTTTAATGCTTCTTCTACCTCTCTCATCGAGCGGGTATCTGCTGAGCAGGATAATCCTTCAACATCTGGTAAGGTGTTGTGTGCAGTGTTTGTAAGGTTGGTGCCTCAGAAATTATGACTCTTCTGTTGAATCCTAAGAAACTAATCTCTTACTGTAGAGGATAGAATGATAATGATCAAAATCCCTGCAAAAGTTCAAGTCAAAGCACCTGATCACTAGTTAATTTAATAACTTGTTCCATAAGAAAATCATAGGCTTAGTCCTAGTGGCTCGGAGAGGCAATTGAGAATTGTGTGAATTCAAGGACACAGAAGATGCATTTCAATCATTAAATGTTTTAATTTTGCAGCACTCACCATCTTGGAACTTAGGTGCAGCTGTTGGGGATTTTTCCCCTCATCAAGCTGGAGTGTAAACTTACTGAAACTATACAGATCACATCACAAAGCTAACTACAACTGAATATTTGCACGCATGCAGTCGCTCACTGAGGAACCATTCTAATCCTCACTGTTGCTGCTGCCATTCACCAGTCCACTTTTTCCCATTCAGAGATTTTTAAGATCAGAAGGGACCACATTGATCATTTAATCTGACAAATAGAACAAAAGACAATTATTTAGAAGATGTAAATGATGTTCCCAGAAGTGATCCCCAGTTCGTCTACCCACCTGCCACCCATTTTAACCAAGTGAAAATCCACTCTCATGCTGTCTTTCCAATTTACCAAATTACATGATCACTGCAGGCTGCGTCCTGACCTTCAGTTTATCCTCAATCTTCTGTGCACCTATACTGCAGTTAGTCTCATGACCTCACTCCATCCCCAAATTACTAAATGCTTCAAATACTGCAGCATCCGATTGCAAGTCTGGCTCTGCCTGCTCATACTGGCTCCTTCCAAAGTATTGCTCAAAATGTGCCTTAGCCTTGATGTACTCTGCATATTATTTGTGCTCCCCACAGACTCTTCAACCACTTCTGTGGTAGGCTGCATATGTGGAAAGAGGTGTGGGGGCTGGGTGTGTGTGTGCATGCGAGAGAGAGAGAATAAAATCACTCCAAGACTGAATCTTTATTACTAAGTACGGGCCTGGAGCATATTTTTATGAATGAATTATAAGCACTTCTATTTAGATGCGGAGCATTTACAGGTTCTGTACCAGTTTCTTTACAGATCCTCCAAATAATCCGGTATATTGCGAAAACTAGGATAGATGATATACCATATAATCGTGCAAATGATGCCAGCACATTTCTTGTTTGACATAGCCTTTTCTCATTCAGATGATGATTGAATTGGGATGGGCATGTGTCATGGAAAATATCATAGTTTTTCTCCAGTGTTCCCTCTTTGTACATATCTGTTAATAATCTGTGCTTTCGTTTTACAGGATCACAGTCCTCTATTTTCATTCCTGTGCCTGCTTTCCCCACTCTAGAACCTAGGTGTCCTGGAGCATCACATGAAGAACAAGGACAGCTGTATGCAAATAGTGAAACTTCCACTATCACTTCAAGTATCATTGATAAAGAGAGAAATGAAAGTTCTACATCAGAGCCTCAAAGGGAAGAGGAGGAGGACTTGGAGCCTGCAAAGAAGAAAATAAAAGGAGGCTAGTATATTATGTGACCTACGTATTATGTGACCTACGATGTAGCCTTCTATTTTAATCTTTTGTTAAAATGATTTGAAAGAAGACTGACACTCTCAGAAGCTTCCAATTACGTACATGGCTCGTTTGTTAATTTTTCACAGAATTCCATTTGGGTTAAGTGAAGCACAGGGATCTGAAATGACTTACCAGGGCTCTGTAGGCAGTTCAGTGGTTCAGTCTAGATTAGAATCCAAGACTCTAACTATATCTTATGAAAGTTTAAGACTATTATTACTTTTTTTTTCTCTGCTGAAGTGAAATGAGTCCAAAATGCACTCCTATAACCTAGAAGAGCTTTAAAGGATATGTTTAAATGGTGTGTATATAAAACCTTATTCAGAACACTATGGTTTTTAAAAACACATGCCCTCAGGCTTCTATTACATCAGGGCAAATATGTTTACTTTTAACAAAGTATGATTTAAAGGGATCAAATATTGTTGATTTTAGACCTGCTCCAGGCTTCCTGCTATTCTGTTGCTGGCTCAGTGAAAGTAATGGCTGTGACTGTAATACTGTGCAGAGATCAGTCTGCAAAGCAAGGACATCAGCTTTGTGACAACACTAGTGATGGAAGCAGATATGAATCATAATGCTTAGCTTTTTGGCTTAATTGAGTAACATTAAATAGGAAGGCTCTGACACCCATGGTCCAATTTCATGTATGTTATAACACTGAGACATGTCTTCTCTGCAGATGAGAATGCTAGTCCATCTCTTCAGATGACAGCTCCAAGTCAATGTATAATTAAAGCTGGATTTGAAGGCGCAAAAACAACAAATGTAAAACCAGACAAAATGGAAGAAACACTCACTTGCATTATCTGCCAGGAATTGCTGCATGACTGTGTCAGGTACCTATAGTTTAAAAAGAACCTTCTGTAATTAAATGGGACTTAATACAGAGAACACAATAACTACTGTTTGGGGTAGTGGGGGTTTGTTTGTCTTTTGTAAAATACTAGTTTCTCTTGAGAGTTGGTAAGATTTTCTATTTTTATGCAGTGTATATACCAGGGTTTCAACATGTACGCTTCCCCCACCGTACAGTATTGAACAACTAGCTAGCTGCTTTAGGCTGGGACTTTCAAAGAAGCTTAAATGGTAAAGTGTTCACCATCCTAAAAAGCTTTGGGCAGAGACCACAGTCAGAGGCATGATACAGGATTTAATGGACCGTTGAGTCATAGTCATTGCTGGTATAGCAAATCTCATGATGAATTCTAGTTCACTTGGCCAGTGGCTGGTTAAACAAGGCTTTGACTCTTCTTTAATCAACATTACCATTTTCTGATGGGAAAACTCTACTATCCAGCTTTCTCCCACTAGACTGAAGTGGAGTTTATCAGGTATCTTAGCCAGAAAAGCAGATCAGACTGAACATGAGATGCCAGTTGAAGTGTATGATTTTAATGGATTTTTTTCCCATCTCGATATGGGAAAGGTGAGCATCTTTGCATCAAGCATATATTTGGAAAAGGCTCAAAATTATAGGGGACTTGTTTTAAAAGTAATTGAACAATTATTAAAGTTAATTTAAAAAATGAAGAAGTGTCCTTCAGTAATCAAAAGTGCTAGATTAATAGCACAGCAGTCTGGGAAGTGTGGATGAAGAGAGTAGAGTGATTCCAGCTCCAGTCTATATTAAATCCTTGGTCTTCGACAAGACTTACAATAATACGATGCTAATTGTGAATGTGGGTTATTTTATATTGTAGACAAGCTTTCTACAATCTACTAAATCCTGAGATTATCCACTAATTTCCAATAGACTGCTAAACATCTGTCAGCTGATTGGTAACAGAAATGTGGTCACCAATTCAAATCTCCTGTGTAGTACTAGCCCCTTGTGAAACAGATCTTCACTGTAGAAAAACTATTGGAAAAACAGACTTCCGTACAAATCGTTATGTAAAGTTCTTTATGGTATTTCTTGATTATCTAAACAGATATCAAAGGACCATGCTTTTAAAATACTTTTGTATTTAAAGCTTATGTAAAAGGCCTGTTTTGAATCTTGGGATTTCTCATTGTCCCTGTGATGTAAACTTGTTTGTGTTTCCAGCTTACAGCCCTGCATGCACACCTTCTGTGCTGCCTGTTACTCGGGGTGGATGGAACGGTCTTCTCTCTGTCCAACTTGCCGTTGTCCAGTTGAACGTATCTGTAAGAACCATATACTGAATAACTTGGTTGAAGCCTATTTAATCCAGCATCCAGGCAAGTTGGAAGTGTATTTAATATACTTACATATACAGCATGTTTCAGATATTAAGTGTGAAATAGGTGTATAAACAGAGAAAAAGATCTTTATCCATAAAACCTTCTTTGCCTATCTTACTATTTTGCCTGTTGCTCTCATGTTGCCATAAGAGAAAAAGAAAGCAGTTTATTACAGGAACCTTTTTATAATACTAGACCTAAAGGCACTTAACAAATGTTAAGGATGCTGTGAACTTTAAGCACCCACTCCTGCAAATTTCATCCTAACTGAGTTACCCAAGGTCATACACTGCCACTGGCAGAGCTGGAACTAGAATTATGAATTACGGGCTTCAGTCTTACGCTTGTGAGTTTATAAAATGTCAGATACACGAACGTTCTAGGTTGTTTTACATAGCTACAACTACTGTAGTCACATGTTCATAAATACTGTGTACATTGTTTAAAAACTTGCAAGGCGGTGGAGATGATTTTGCTCTGGAGTAGTCGATTTGGTGATTTACAGCTATTTTTTTCTTCACGTTCATATTTGTGTTTCTTTTGCAGATAAGTGTCGTAATGAAGAGGATGTACGTAGTATGGATGCTAGAAACAAAATCACTCAAGACATGCTGCAGCCTAAGGTGCGAAGGTCATTTTCTGATGAAGAAGGAAGTTCTGAGGATCTGCTGGAACTGTCGGATGTAGATAGTGAATCCTCAGATATCAGGTATGTGCATTGGCTTAGCTTTGTTTGGGTCTGAGCGCTGGCAGTCTCAAACCAGGCTAGAGCACTGTGTTAGCTGCAGCCGTTTGCAAAACTGGGATTTAATCTTTATTGCATCCCACATTTTGAAGCCCTGGCATTATGTTTTCATGAACATTGTCAGGGTTCAGTTTTGATTTATTTTTGTTTTCAAGTTTGTTTTGGAACCTCTATAATAATCTCAAAACTGATAAAGTGCTTATTTATAGAGGCAGCAGGGAGCTGATCCAGGTCTTGGCACAAGCTAAAGCAGCCCAAGATCACCAGAGTATAGCTCCAGCCATGCTACCTTCTGCCCCTGGCATTCCCTCTCCACCAGAGGTCCAGTAGTGGGTGATGTTGAGCAGCGAGTGCTTTACTGAAGGATTCCCAGATACAAGGAGGATTCCCAGCTGGTTGGCTAAGCCAAGTTTCTGGTGCCAAAGGGGATGGAGTGGAACAGAATGGTGGATCTGGCCCTAAATCACCACATACTGTTGTAACTTTTTGTCCTCCTTTTCCTCCATCCTACGCCTTCTTGGATTGGAAGCCAAGGCAAGCATTGTGTCATTTGTAGGTCTTGGAAAGCATCCAGCACACTTGTGGGCTCAGTGTAAATTACAACAATCTAGGGCTACTTGTACTCACTTCTGGAACTAAAAAACTTTAAATGCTTCTGAAATAATTGTGGCCTTTTTATTTTACCCTTTCTAATTTGAAAGGAACTAGGAGTGCAATACTTAGCTTCACTGCTCTATGTTGCTGAATGTGTAAGCATCCCTATCCAGATTTTATCTACTGGGTTTAGGCTAACATTTTATAAAAACAGAAACAAATAGCTAATTGAATCCACTCTGGAAACAATATATGTATAAAATCCAGTAACCTGATTGTGTCTGTCCTTTCAGTCAGCCTTATATAGTGTGCAGACAGTGCCCAGGATATCGGCGACACTCCATTCAGCCACTTCCTTGCCCAGGCCAAGAGGGGGAAGCAGGAGGATTGCAAGCACTGGGAGATGCACCATCGACGTCTGCCGACTTTCCTGCAAGTCAGTGTGATGAAAAGCTTGTTGTTAACGTGGTACTGGGACACTAAGAAATACATGTCACTTATGAGGAAAGGACACTTTCTTGGGGAGTTGTGAAAGTTGGCATCTTTCTTAGAGTCTTGAGATATGAAGATGATTTTCCTAGGTTACTGGGGGATAAGTCAAGCCTTTCCTGTTTATTTAACAAATACTGTGTGCTCTGTCTTTTAAATAGCTATCCGTTATAGCTGAGTGGAACATTTTCTGTCACCCTTGTGGGAGTATAGAATAATCTGTGTCTTTGTGAATTTCAGCAAAGGGCAAACCACTGCTACAAAAGCAGATTTACAGCACTCCATATTGGAGTTATCAGTGCTGTGGGTTCAAAAGCTTACAGGATTTGTAGTGCATACAGGGTGAGTGTAGATGACTCTAGTCAGAGTAATAAGTAATCCACTAACTACTAGGGTTTATCTGGATTTCCCAGGGAGGGGAATAAATTGTAGAACATCAACTGATTAGGGTCATCTGAAATTGTTCTCCATTCTTCATGGGTTGACCGTCTTGATTTTGCTGCTGGTGGATAATCTGAATAATTGAAGGTTTCATCAAAAGCAAAGTGGTATCAAAAGGTCATCAAGCTTTTTCTCCTGTTTCAAAAAAATCATTCATTGGTTTTGATTTGTCAACTGTAGAGTCTGCATGTATATGTGTAATGAGAGAGGTATGTACTCAAATGTACAAGCAGAAAACTAAAGAGAACTTACAGCTGTGTTGCCCAAAATACACTGTTTAGGAGCAATTGGTTCTTTTACTTCTTAAGCTATTTCCCTGTATTGAATAAAAGTTTTTTGTCGTTTAATAGTGTAAAAGGGTGTATTGTTTAGAAGCCTTAATGCCAATTTCCCTATTTTTCCGTATAGCCTTCTAAAAACTTTAGTGATATTGCTTAAGTGTCAAGTTCCTCAGCTCTTCGGATGCTGATGTATGTGTCTAACACTCATTGGTACTGTGGTCCCATATTATATAATTCTTCGGGGTTTTATTTATTTCAATCTAGCTGTCCAGGAGTATGTCTGTCCTTCTCAAGGAAGTCATGTAATATGCACGTGCTGTTTTCAGCCAATGCCAGACCGAAGAGCAGAGCATGAACAGAATCCCAATATTGCCCCTCAGCAATGTGAGTAAACTTTATTGTCCTAAAAACAAATTTAATTCTTATTGTTAATCCTAGGTCTTGAAAGACATTCTGACTATATCAGATCATGTGCTGTTACAGTAAGAAAGGGTCTTCCTGCTTCTGTGGGGTTTAATTAAGCAGGGGGAAAGGGAGGTTGTTTTCTCCTATATCTGTACTATACACACAATTAATGCAAATTGTTTTGAAATATATTAGCATTTTTCAACTATAGCGTGGATGGAAAGACTTATATCTTCGTTGTCATAGTGATGCAGCAAAATGCATTAGCTGACTGATTTTTTTTTTTTTTTTTTTATATTGTAACATTTCTCATATAGCCACCATTTATGTCATGTTAGTTGTACAGCGGAGCAGTGTTTTGTGTAAAACCCTATGAGCTTTGGGTTATTGTGCTGCTTTGTAAGACCAATATACCTGGACAGTGGTGATTGCCTTGGGTTGATCGTAGCTTTTCTTTGTGTTCACAGGCACAGTTTGTCTACAGCCGTTCTGTCATTTGTATTGGGGCTGCACTCGGATGGCATGTTTTGGCTGCTTGGCACCATTCTGTGGTATGGCAGGAGAATCACTGTATCAGCTATAGCCACTTTGCATACAATAGTGTCTCGGTTACCTGGATTTTACCAAGCTTAATATTTTAATGTCAATGTAACATTGTAGTTCAGATTAGCATAAGAACAGTCAGAGCCAGATCTTAAAATGTTAGAGAAGACCCTTACCCACTTCAAAAACGTTTAGACTATACCGTTAAAATGTGTCACAATTAATGGGTTATTGTATTGTTAATAGATGCTGAGAAACAGTGGCCCCTGTGGACTGTAATGAGTAGTGGGGTGCTTAGTACCTAATCTTGGATCAGTTCCTAAAGTTGGGATGTTATATGATATGCTTCAGTATGTGTTTGCATAAACTCATATACTGTGTTCATAAACATCCATCTTTGTTACAGAAGAAAAACTTATTTAAAAATTGCAAAACAAAGATAATTTCTCCTCTTCTTAACAGAAATAAATCTTGGTGACAAGTGTTTAGATGGAATCCTAAACAACAACCATTATGAGTCGGATATTCTAAAGGTATGTTTAAAAAATCACTATGTGTTGGATATGAGCAAGAGAACATGTAACATTGAGATTGTGATATACAAGGTGTTTAAAGCAAGAAATCCAGAAGGAGATACTCTTCTCCTTTATCCATCCCATTGTGTGTAGGTCCGGCAGCAACTGAGTGATGTTTGTTCATTCACTGTCTGGAGATGCCAGTAGTGTCTAGGCACAACTAACATTCTTTAACTGAAATTCCATGAGTTATATTTTGTTTTACATTTAATCATTCCATCCTCACCCCCACACTCAACATCACTTTAACACCATTCGCCTAATCCATTAACTCTTACTCAGACAAATATTATTTTCAAAGACAAAGTGAGTTTAGAAGACTGAATAAAGACATCAGGAATGTGTTCAGCCTTTCATGTTGGTACATCTCTTTGAGAAGAGTGCAGGAGAAGACACAATGGACAGTAACTGCTCTGAGCTGTTAATGAGTCAGGTTTCTGCTGTATATAATAATACCTTACTCTGATGTAGTGTGATAGTATTCCCATTTTACAGATGGGGAAACTAAGATGAAGTGGCTTTCCCAAAGTCACCCAGCAGGCCAGTGGCATGAAATAACATATATGGGTAGATTGTGTATAAATACATAGTGTTCACGCAGTGGAGTGTAATTAATATCTAGTATGTGTTTATGTATACATACCTGTACACACACAGACACACATATGGATTTTATATTGTAGTCTGTCAAGCCTAAAGTGCACTCCATTCCTGGATGATGAATTGTAATGGATTTTGGCTCAAGGTGTCACTGTGTTATCTGCTCTGCACCAGCACTAAACTAATGTTACTAAACATCCTTTCTGCAAGAGGGGTGGGGGGAAGGGTGTTCACTAGCAATGTTGCATGTGGTGATCTTTACAATAGGGCTGTGTCCTGGCTGGCAGTTTTAGGTGTGCCACCAGTGGGTCTCTGAAAGGCAAACTGAATAGTCTTTCAGCAGAGGTGACCAAGTATAAAACTTACCTCACTGAGCAAATGGCCAGCCGGAAGTATTGTATTTATTTCTGGGTCATCTTTTCGCCATTTCAGTTTCAGTGCCAGAGGAAGTGTAGAGATTTGAACTAGAATTCCCTTCAAGCTATCCTGAGCCCTCCAAGAAATCACGTTAAAATTAAATGACTGAAAGACACATTCTGGAATTCAGATGCATCTAGCAAACAGGTGTTACAGCTTTATACATATAAATGATGACTTGCTAAGAAAACCAGTTCCTAAGGTCTATTAAGAGGTGTAATGTCCAAAAGATTAATAATGGGAAAAAATCTACAAAGAAAAGTAGGCGTATTACAATTTTTTCCTCCACTTGAGTTAATTTTAACTTAAAGTATATGCCAAATATTATGTACCTGACCATAATCCATGTTGTCTTTAGCTAAGGACACTGGGTAAAATCCTGGCCCCGTTGAAATCAATGAAAGTTTTGCTGTTGACTCTAATGAACCAGGACCTCACCTTGCTCAATTAGGCTTCAATCCTGTGAAGTCTTACACACACACTTACCTGCAGTGGGACTACTTGAATGCTTAAAGCTAAATACCTATGTTAGTCTTTGTGGGAGAAGGGTCACGGTGAACATAGAGTACTGACTTTAAGTATCGGTGATCTGACAATGGTAATATTGGTAGTCAGGTTAAAGAAATATCAATAATTTGGATTAAAAATATAGAATGAATGCATTTTGAAAACCTATTTAGACTTACATTTTTGTTACATTGATATCTCTTAGCCTGTTCTAAATATACATTTTTAAATTCCTTATTGCAGGATTACCTGGCATCCAGGGGTTTTACATGGAAAAACATGTTAAATGAAAGTCTCTTAGCTCTTCAAAGAGAAGTTTTTATGCTGTCAGGTAAGTCTCTTCATTCTTATGTTTATTTTGAGTGGGATGCATTTCAGTAAGTAATAGTGGATTGCGCTAAACACATCCTGCTTTCCTAAGATGTCTATGTACATGCTCAGAGTGGTCACTGCATTTTTTTGAGACATTAGATTAAATGAGATTTAAATTAATGCTGTGTACAAATTGGCTTGTTCTCCAGATTACAGAATTACTGGGAACACAGTGCTTTGTTATTGTTGTGGCCTCCGCAGCTTCCGAGAGCTTGCCTACCAGTATAGGCAGAATATTCCTGCTGCTGAATTGCCAGGTGAGGAATGGGGAAAAATTAATTTGGTCCCATGACTGTGAAGGCCTGTGAACGCCGAGTCAAACCTCTTTCAGTTAAATGGATCCTCCCATGCAGGTCCTTACACCTAGGTGTAGTCCTGTTGCGGGTAGTTGGTGGTTCCCTTTGCAGGAGTGAGGTCTTAGGTTGGTTACCTTACTCATGAGTTGTTGTAAAGTTTGTGTGTTACCAGTTCAAAGAGTGGCTAGTGCCAAAATCTTCATAGGGGATTCTTTGCCTCCAATATGGCTTGTTGTTTTTTTAAATTTTAAATATTTGAGGACAAAAGTGCATACTAAAACACTTCAGAAGTAAAGCATAATATATAAGAACAACTAGCTGTTGACTATAATTTAGCTATCATAAATTCTTTGCACATTTAAATGCAAATCAGGTGCTGATATTTTCTGAACGATATCAATTATATTGGCTGATGTCGTTTATTGGTTACAATAATTCATTCCAACATGCATTGTAAACCTGTTGAGCAGTATAGAGCTTCGTTATAAGATAGTAGGGGCAATTGTATCTCCTTCAATTCCAATGTGTCCACAGCCCATTGGGGGCAGATGAGCCCTTCTGTTAATCTACTTTTAACTCAGTTATGTGCTGCAACTCTTTTTTTTCCAAACAGTCCTTGTTGTTAGCAACAGCTTCGCCACTCAATTACCTGCTAAGCATGCTGCTGCGAGTTTCAGCACAGCATGGGGCAGACGGGCCAGCCTAGTGTGTTTAATTTTTATAAGTAACATTTTATCTGCCTAGGGAGGCACGTTTGACTGCTCAGCTTTACATTCATTCTGTGGCAAAACTACAGAAGCAAAAATAATCACTACATATTTTTCTCATGTTCTGTTTTGAAGTATATCTAAACAGTAACTGGTGCATGATGTCTTATGTATTTAAGGCCCGATCCTGTTTCCACTGAAGTCAGTGGCAAAACTCCAAGTGGCTTCAATGGTGCAGGATCAAGTCATTATGCAGAGGGCTGGTCCATGTTTGCCCCCAATACGTGATGGGTTTTTCTGTGCTTCAATATGTATTTTGTAAAAATGACAGGAAACTGGTATAACTTAAAGCAGCTTCTTGCAAAAGGAGGTCTTTTCTGTCCCCAGCAACACCTAAGCAAAGCCATTTACAGCAGTGGATCCTAATGTATTTCAGCTACATTGATTTTTGTCATCTGCTACATCTTTATTCATTACTTTATGCAATAAATGTGATATTATGGTGGTTTATTTTATAGTGACTGTCACATCACGTCCTGATTGTTACTGGGGGCGCAATTGCCGGACTCAGGTTAAAGCACACCATGCTATGTGAGTTGGTTTTTTGGGGTTTTTTTAAGCTTGAACTTAAAACTATCAAAAATTCAGACTTAATGGAGTAGTTCTCAAGTAGTGGGTCCTGTCTAGAACTCTGAGAAACTATTTTTTGCAGCACAAACCAAAACTGCATGATTTTGCCTGGTTTCTGTTCTAGAATTGAAATTTATGCCAGGTTCAAGGACTGTGGAACATCTGTTGGTCCAGTTTCAAGTGAGCTTGCTCTGATTTATGGTTCCGGGTAGAAACCACATGATATGTAAAGATTTTGTACAAACCTGAAACTCGAAGTTAGAGCCCCATCCATGTGGAAACAAAGGAAACGGGTCACACAAGCACCTGTGAACTGAAATAGCCAAATTTGGCACAGTTTTGATCCTGACTTCCCAAGCCCAGACATCACTTCCCACGGAATCAGACTTTCTAAGTTCTTTGTGCCTGGGTTCTCCTCAGATGCACTGCATAAACCCTGTTCTGGTCCCTATTTTGAAGTGCCATGGGATTCCAAGGATACTGGGATGCATCTGAGGACAAGATTACTCTCGTTGAAAGTGGTTATCTGACATCTCCCTGTTGGAAACAGGTTGAGAACCTGTAGCCTTAGGAGTCTGACGTGGCCTGCCATTCCTTGTCGCCAGAGTGGCTCCAAGAGTTTCATTCCCTGGACTAGTTCAACTTGGGCTCCTGGTGAAAATGAAGAATTAAGCTTGAAGAGAGGAGGGGAATCCTTCACTTTTCAAGTGTCTAACAATTCTAGGGAATATAGACTCCAAATCCACGTGTGAAAGACAGACGTTATGCAAGTCACCCACTGGCAGCTGCATAAGACTGCATGTCTGATATCTTTAAAAAGAGTTTGATTCCTTTAAACACTAGTCAGCTGGGTGAGAATTTCTTGATCATATCTTCTTTTGTTAGAAAAAGAGACTCCAGTCAGTTAGTTAGCGGAGGACAGTCTCAGGCCTCTTAAGGTACATGGTCATGCAAAAGAACTAACTAGAAGTTAGAAATGCCTATCTGTAGAATCAAAAAGATCTTTTTTCCCCACAAAGGGCCGGATTCAGACTTAGCATAAACCTGTGTAGCTCCACTATATTCAGAGGAGTTGCTCTCATGCCCAAGCCTAAATTTGGCCAAAAGTTAAAGGACTTAACAGCGTGCTTAGCTCAGAATTGATTGACTCCATTAAGCAGGGTAAGGGGAGGCAGTTCCTCACTTGACCAATAATGATCCATGTTCTCAGCTCCTAAAAAGGAGCTGTCACTTTCCCTCTACTGAGAGATCGCTTTAATGAGCGGAAGGTCCTGCTCTATCTATCTAATTCTCTGAGAAGACTATGCAGTTATCATAATTTTACTTTAATTCAGACTATTGTGGTCTGAAAATCATCCATCTGTGCAGCTTATACAGCCAGATCATTAGACATTAAAAATGTTCATCCACCAGTCTCTTCCAAGGGTGAAGTTTGTGGAGTATATTCTGCAAAATCTAATTTTCTTTCTCTTTCTCATAGATTTAGTTTAGGTGCTTTGATATATTTCTGCAAGAGTTATCTGTAGTACTGGGCTGCATTATTGTTGCTAGGGGGCATTTTGTTGTTTGATGCACTTGGGAGCTGATTCACTGTCCAAACAACTGCCAAACTTTCCTATTCAGATTGCAGTTGGGTTTTTTGTATCCCTCTGGAATAGGAATTGAAGGAAGCTTTAGTAATGATTCAGTGCTCTTTCTTCAAGCATTAGCTGTACAACTTTGGACAAGCTTCTTCTAGTTCCAGAAACCCATGAAACAAAACAGTCCTGACACACCACTGTTGCATCATCCATCGCCTTCTGCATGAGGACCCATCGCCTTCTGCTAACTGGTGTGGGTTTGAGACCAGATTCTTATTAAATAAGAGGGCTGAGAGCCTCAGGCCTACTACTCCATCTCCTGCAAACCTCTACACGCTCAACTCTCAACTTGTGCCTTAAATACATTTTGGGGCACTGAACCCATCAGGGAGAACCCTGTGACAAGAACAGACAAGTGCTTGACAGTAAGAAAGTAGTACATTTATAGAATTCTGTATTACCTGTCTAATCCAGGATGATCAGTATGCCACTTCCATGGAACCCAAGTCACTTGGGAGGATGCATCCTTCTTCCCTAAAGTGAGAGAGTTTTCCACTCTCCTTTATTTCCAGAAATAGATTCCAAACTCATCTTGGATCTCAGAAATCAAAGAATGTTTATGTTGAAATTTATTTATTAGCCAGATTAACATGTCCTGAAGGTTGTCTAACAACTTCAGTTCCCAGTGACTCTCATACTCTCACTCTCTCTTCCCAATGACTTTCAGCTGACTGCTGAAAATTACCAAGTGTCTGTCAGGTCAAGATTAATTCTGCTTATGTGTCCTGTTTTAATTGACTCCTGAATTTAAAGTATGCAGTGGTAGAGAGGAATGCAGTTAACAGGTTTTCAGTGTACATAATGTAATTAACAGTTGTTGGGTAGAAAAAATACTGAGAATTCTATTATGAAAAACTTTATGGAGGGTAGGCTTCAGCCTAAAATAACAGGCCGCAATGTCTTCAGGTTCTGATAGCATTAATATGTATATGTGCTGCTTTAAACTTTTGTTTGACTTTAAAATATCCTAAAGCAGGTTTGACTCTTTCATGGTGTTGTACTTCTCAGAGCAATTTTAAACTTTTTTTTTGTTTTTATTTCAGGAAATTCAATCACATTTGTGAACAAACACGTTTCAAGAACTGAACTTTCTGAAATTGAAGCTGTCTGAATATTTGTAGTCTGTAGAAAGGGGATGAAAGCCTGAAATACTGATCATATAGGAAATATTATCAGGGGATTTTCATTATTCCCTCACAGCAGGGAGTCAATAACTTTTTCATCAGGTACTCTGGTGTGACCTTTTTAATTTGTAGAGTTTAACAGTTATATATGAGTAAGTGAGAACCTCTTGAAAGAAAATCTGACAAGCATTGCATTCCATCCTCATTATTACAGTGTTACTATTTCACTATACTCAAATCAAGTAATAGCAGCCATACATTGGAGGACCTAAGAATAATCAGTGAGGAGTGTATTTGCACTAAATGTGTCTGAAAATAAGAGAAACATTTATTAAAATGGAAATGCTCTGTACCAGTAACTTAATATCAAAGGAGGAAACTCAACACATGTTCAGACTTGTCCACTTCTATCTTGTCATTAGCATTGCAGTTGGGATGGAAATCTATTAAAGTTCACTTTCACAAAACAAGAAGGTGATCTGGTATATGTTCATCAGAATTGTTTTTTTGTTAATTTTTCCCCCTATTCATTAAACAAACAACAGCTTCAGCTTACAGCCTCAGATCAGAACAGTGCTTTGCAGGAATGCTATACAGGAAAGCATTTTTTCTTTTAGTTTAGTAGTATTGATGTGTTTTTACCATTAGAATTAGATATCACAAACATTTGCACAAATATTTACAAATCAGACTCAAATTTGGGATAGTAATTGCTTATGAACAAGCGTCTGCTTTTAATAACTTTAGCAATTTTCTATCAAACTAAACCATTATTGACATAGAGCAGACAGTAAGACAAGTTGGTGCAATTTTTTTAATGTATTTTTTGGTGTGATATCATATGTTAGCTAGGCATGTGTAGTTTTATCTTGCAGCTGTGCTCTAGCATGTGCACATTGGTAAAAGCGTAGAAAGGCTGCCACTTCAACAGAATATAACAGATTTACAAGAAAGAACAAATGTTACCTATGAAAAGGTCCACTGCAGATGAACTTTAGCAATATGGAGAAATTCTTTTGATGTGGGGGAGATTTTAAGGGGGACACTGGTATCTCTAACATGTTGAGTATGTAGACTTAATTTTTCACTCCTCTATTTTTTCCTTAATTATGTTCAGAACATTTCCTGAGATCATAAAAATGTGATGTAGTCATAAATATTTCCTAGTCGTCTGGCAACTAATGTTCACGTGCTTGATTTGGACCAGCTTTTCATAAGTATCATACCCAGGAGAGCAAAATAGAATGGGAGGAAAGCGTACAAAGTTACCTCTGTATATATCGTGTTTTAGGTATGCCTTATTTTGCAAGCAAGGTTTATACTCTATGCTATGTGTTATCGTGCAGCACGGGGTGGTGTAGCACATTGTATCTGTTAGTTAATTAAAAAAATACAATACTGCACATGTTAATATAAATGCTAATTAAAAATAATGGATTTCTGTTCATATTTTTATTTTAAAAGTAGCTGCAGCAATGATGGATCTGTTGGTAATATCCATAATGCTGTTAAAAGTACACTTGGGTGTGGACTTCTCTTCCTAATCTCTGGGCATTTCCTCCTGTGAGTAGGGTTGAAATCAGATCTGGAATAATACTTGAAACTTGTTAACAAAACGTTGTTTCTACCTTTTACTATTACTAACAATGTTCTATTGCATCTTTATTCATATTTTATGTTTAGAAAGTTGATTTTTTTAATGGTTATTATATCTTCTCAGGACAGCCATTCCCAGCTGTTTGGTCTCAATTTCAACTCTGGCTGTGCATGTAAGCAAATTGCATGTATTTGTGGAAAGAGACCCTTTGCACATTACATGTAGAAATGTGCTTTGCATTCTCACTCACTACTTTCCATGCCCCACATTGGCTTTTAGCATAGACTTGTCACTATGCTAATGTTCAAGTCCCTAATGTGCTGAATTTTTTGTGGATTAAGAATAACATCTACAACCCTATGTACAACTTCTCTTGCACCTGCACAAGCTGTTGGGACGTATTATGTGACATCTTAAAAATCTGCAACAATCTCAAATACTTGACATCCAAACTACCTGTATAGTAGAGGTTCCTTATATACCTTTTATGTACCCCTCTCTTCCCCCCCCCACCCATAGAGAATAAATATGGCTTTCTATGCATAGGGGGTTGAAGTAGTGCAATGGAATGAGAAGTTTTTTGTGATTATATTGTACTTGGAAGAGCTGAGAGATTAACTTGCAAATGGGGAGGGTGAATAAATCCTGATCTTTATATGCTCTTAAGTAACTAAGAGCATCTGTCATGGGTATTACATACTCTTATACATTAGTCCTTTTAAAATGTATGGTTGCCAGGTGATATTTAGATAATGTGATAACTGTATAAACTATACTTGGTGTAATTGTTTAAATACTGTAAAGGTGCACCATATTTTTAACCTATCTAAAGCACACCCCCACCCTCTTCATAAGAGACATTTGGAAGCAGAGCATGGAACCTTGTAGAATCGATGTTGTGAAAACAAGGGTGATTATGATAGGGTTTAATGTAGTGGTGAATAAGATACAGTCTCCCTCTATGAGAAAGTTCTTTTATAAAGAAGGTGGAGTGCAGTTCTTCCAATTCTTTTTGTGATTTCCTGGACTAAAAAGTTATTAAAAAAATTACCCATTTAAGCTGTCTGTTTCCATTTCATCTGTGCTGTTTAATCTCTCCTCACCACAAACTGTGCATAGATGATGTTGTACACATCACCTTCTAATGCTCAGTCATATTGCTCATCACTTGAAAGTTACTGAGTTTTTACAACAAGATACCAGACTGGAACTCATGATAACTGAGTATAAGGTATTACCTGGAGGGAGTCCTTGTCTGTGGCATGTGAGAGATCTGGCTTAGCCTCCCTTATATACCTGTCAAGATAAATTTGCAAAGGATCTCTAGTCTCTCTGCAGGATTTATAACAAATGAGCTGTACTTCAAGCCAGCTCCATTGTACTTGGAAGTAACCACACAGACATAACTTTTGTTTTAAATAAGAAAAATTCAATACAAGGGACAGGAGCAAAGAGTTTTTCTACCTTTTGTAGAACTGGATTTTCTTCTAACTTCATGCAAGAGTATCTAGATACTGTGATCACTGTCATTCTAAAACTGCTGACAGTACTAGAATAACATTTAACAGCAGGCTATAGAAAATGAATATTGCAGTGTTAAAAGACAATCTAGATAGTCTAGTTTATATGTACACATGCAAAGATTCTGAATGGCTACTACAGATGGAGAACTTAAGTGTGCTGTAGGAAGTTGCATACTTACCAACTTGGAAAAAATTTTATTCACACCAGACTTTATTTGACTATTTGGTGAAAATAGTAAAGCCAGCCAAACTTGTTATAGTTTCAAGTTTTTATGAGTTAGGATCTTAGCATGTCTGAATTCTTAACAATTCTCACACTAAGATGGAAATTGAAATCCTTTAATATTGTAGCTAATCCTTACTGCTGTTTTTTAAGCCAGCTGTCATTTGTTCTTCAAACTAAATTGAAAAAACATTAAAACCCACACTTTAAGCAATATAAAGTGAAAGTATAATCCTGCTCTGTGACCTGTAAGAACAAGAGACCTGTAGTCATTCAGACCTGTAACTGCTTTAGATGTTCTACCAGCATTGGCGGGTTGAAGTACTCTGTACTCTATTTTAGCATAGACTGTCTTGTCTCTAACTCAATTCAAAAGGAAGCAGTCAATTTTTGGTCTTGCCAGGGTGAAGTCCTGTCACTTGAACAGCTGTAGGATCATGCAAGCAGCTGTGCTTTACCCTGCTTATCCATTGTGGAGGGGGTACCTTATGAAGTGGTGTGAAAGAAAAGAGCAACATTTAATGTAGGTTTTACAGTGTTCACATCTGTCTACGAAGCACTTACAGTCATTGTTACTCTTGATCATCCTCACTGTGGGTTGGACTTCAGTCAGTGAGTGGGTAGTTTCCATTTCAGTTCTGAGCCATCTAGGCCTCAGTAATTTACACCTAAGGTGAGATCCTGCTCCCCTTAAAGTCAATGAGGTTGGTCTTTGGCTATGAATAATAAATAGTGAGTTGGCTATACTAGTAAAAAAACACACTCTGTAATTGTTAGGGCAGTAGTTTTCAACTTTTAAATGGGGGCTTTAGTTTAGATGGCTTAAACTAGTGCTTTTGGATTTTTTTTCTTTTTGAAGTGGGAATTGGGGGAGTTCGCTCTGTGAGAAGAGGATCACCACCAAACTGCAATCAAGCCTTTTATTTATGCTTCCTGACAAAACTTTTCTGGAAAGATGTCTTATTTCATGCAGCACAGGGACTGTTTGCTTATTCCCCTGCTTTCAGTATCATTGCATTTTAGCAGTTCAAAGAGAATGTGCCTGGGTGATTTTCCCGCCTTTTCCCCCTGAGTTATTTTCCCACCTTTTTTGCCTGACAGCCTTTCTGTATCAAGTTTGGGAACAGAGACCCCAATTACCATGTCTGGGACCAGCTTCTGAAGAAAACTAATTACGTTATTTCCTTTGGCAATGCCTAATGTGCAAAGATTGTTTCTAAATCTATATTTCAGATCATTTTGCTTTTTTTTATTGTTGGCTGTACTTTCAATGAGGTAATTTCATCCTTAAACTCATTAGTTGCTATAGCATTTTTTGTAATTCATTTTCTAAGAGTGCCATATGAGATTTAACATCATACATTTCCAGAAAGGCCATGAATTTTTTGAAATTGCCAGTCAGCTATTCCTTTCAATGCTGATGTTAACAACTGCTTGGATGGGTTAAGTGACTCCATTAGCTTGCGTCTTGTCACCTTTCTTTCCCCTTTAATTGTTTACATTTTATCCAGAGAATACATTCTATCTTTTTGACAAACTATGTGTTTGTTAGAATTTATTAGAATATTTCAAATGTTTTGATAAGTGAGATCAGGCCAGACAACTATCTTGCTGCAAACTGTTTTTCTACCTCAGGGCGGGGAAAAGCAAATATAAGCAACAAAATTAACATTGATTGACTGGATTTTATAAAATGACTGAAAGGAAAGTAGATTTCTGCTCACAAACTGACTGCATCTTCCTGCCGAAGCAGCTCCCCGTATTAAAAATTTGACGTACTAACTGTAGTAGATATAAATATTAAATGCTTGTTTAAAACACAAATCTAAATCTTCAAGTTTAGTACAACAGTAACTGCATATTTGACTCTGCTAGGTGTTTAATTCCCTTAAACTTCTTCTTGCCATTTTAGCTACCTATGAGTAGTTGATTGCTTCTGAAGAAAACTAGTGCCCCGCAACCTGGTTCTGCTATATGGTGGTAGGGTCACTTCAAAGAACTGCTGCTACCTTGCTCTTACTACCAATGAGCAAAACCGGGCCCATGCCTTCTTCTGAAATCCTGTTACTAGCTAACGTTGTGGGTGAGGGGGAAAGGTGGAAGGAATAGCTCAATCTCAGTATGAGCTACCATCTTATTGTGTTTCTGGTACGGACGCTATAGCTATAACACAGCCCAAAGATATTTCTAATCAAATATAAAGTGGAATATAGAGAGGCTTTCATTTCAAGTTTTACACACTACACCAGAATCGCCAAGTTACGAACATCAGTGTTATGAACTGACCAGTCAACCACAAACTGCATTAGGAACTGGAAGTACACAATCAGACAGCAGCAGAGACCTCCCTCCCCCCAAAAAAGGAAATACAGTACTGTGTTAAATGAAAAAAAAAAAAGGGGGGGGGGTGAGCTGACAAGGTAAGGAAAGTTTCGGTGCTTGTTTCATTAAAATTAAGGTGGTTAAAAGCAGCATTTTTCTTCTGCATAGTAAAGTTTCAGAGCTGTATTAAGTCAATGTTCGGCTGTAAACTTTTGAAAGCACAACCATAATGTTTTGTTCAGAGTTACGAACATTTCAGAGTTATGAACAACCTCCATTCCTGCGGTGTTCACAACAGAGGTTCTACTGTCCTTTTCTAGGTTTTAGATTCATAATCTGATGCTTTTTTCCACGTAATTGTTAAATTACTTCCCTCTTCCTGTTAGCAGTTTTTAATCTACTGTACCTAAGAAGAGTTCTATATAAACAAGAACATTAATTAGCACTGCAAACTGATGAACTTGTTTTAAAAGTAAAATGGGTGATGGGACAGGTTTAAATACCCACGATAGTTGAGTGCATTTTTGAACCCTGGCCTTTTTTTTTAAATATAGGACTTTAATGCACTTTTACAAAAATTTCTTACAAAAGCATTACTAATTTTCTCTTTTTTCTGTCTTGCCTAGCTGCGCTGTATGCTGTTAGTTTGCCCAGCTGAGTGAGAGTTTGGATGCTTCTGGTGGTTTGTGTCTGGTCTGATATGCTTTCAGATACCGTGCTGATGGGTGTAGCATAAGAATATGAATAGAGCAGGCACCTTTGCAAAGCAGACATATATGCTTTTGGAATAGGCTAGCTGGAGCTATGTCAGAGGTAATCTACCATAATGGTCTGGAAGCCAGTTTTTGGGGCAGGCACACTTGTTTTAGCCCGCCTGTGCCACTTCCTTGTCCTTACTGTGCCTCAATTTCCTCATTTACAAAGTGGAGTAACATCTATCTAAGTGAGGTGTCGAGGATTAATTTTTTTTAGAGTTGGTAAGAGGAAGGGCCAAGTTATGTATATCGTACTGAAACTCTTTAGTGTGTGTACCATGGAGACTTCTTTTTTCTTTTACTACTCCTAGTTCATGAGTACAGTGGAGGGAACACTATACAACTTTCCTCCACCAGCAGCCTTCATACTTTTCTAGTTAAGTGCTACCTACCTCTGTGATATTCAAACAGGTTTTTCAACAGAAACGTGGGATTATTGCCTGGGGGAAATCCTACTGTCCAATAACAGTGGGTTGGTTTTTAGTAGGAAAGCAAAGATGCAGCCATTCTTTTGAAACCAAGTTTAATATAAGAATCTGCATATTGTGGAATTTTCCTATTCTAGCTTTTTTTCTATATCCCACTTTTAATAGGGTGTCTGGCACTTCCAAAGTTTGCAGCACCAGCTACAGCTTGTCTGAAAATAAGTACATATTCAAACTTGTATTACAATCTTCAAGAAAGGGAAAGTCCTAGTGTGTATATATACTATCCGTGCTGGAGACCTGCCCTGCATCCCACCCAAGTCTGTTTCCCAGGTGGTTAGTGGCTGTGTAGGTATTATGAAGGTAGCACATGCTGTGAATGAACATGAGGGGTATATTTTATACAGCAAGATGCAAGTGTGACACCTTCCCTCCTTTGCTAGCTGTGGTGAAAGGCTTCAGAGAAGACAGACTGTCTACTCTTTGGCTACGAGGATAACTAGGACAGGAAGTCAGTGTGGAGAATATGAGCAATAACCTCATCTTAAGTAATGTAACTGGATAAACAAGATGTAAGAATATAAATCCTCTTGCTTCAGGGCATTAACTCAGGGGGTGTGGGGAAAAGCTTCTGTGATGAGCACATTATGCAAGTATGATTCATCATATTTCTTGCTGATTTCTCTACAGGCTCTGGTCCTGTTGGAGACAAGGTACTAGCATAGATGTTCATGGATTCCAAGGCCAGAAGGGACCATTGTGCTTATCTAGTCTGACTTCCTGTATCACATAGGCCATAGAACTTCCCCAA